CACCAGGATCAAGGGTTCAGATCCATGTACCAGCCAGTTGCACAAATAAATAAACAAATTAAGAAGAAGAAAATATCCATAGAATTAAATAGAATCAATCATCTTTAACTCCTCTTCAGAATAACCCAGCATGAATAAAGCTATTACTTAAAATTGGTTTGAACTTTATTTGAATCTTATTTTAGATTCTGTAACTACTAAATATATAAAAGTATTGTATACATTTCTCCCACGAAACAGCCCTTAACCATTTTCTCAGGTTCAGGCATACATATCTATTTGCTTTTTGGATGTAGGAGGGTACTTCAAAAAGTTCATGGAAATATTTGTATAATCTTTTAATTCCATTTTTCCATGAACTTTTGAAGCACCCTCATATTAACCATAGCCACATCTAAATAAATGTCTCTAAAATTAAATTCATGCCCTCACCCAAACCATGTGCACCAACTTGACATCACCACCACCAAGTTACCTTAGACAAAAACCTAATTTTTTTTAAACTATTTTATCTCTCCATTCTGTGACATGTCTTTTAACTTTACAGTCCCTCCTTGAATTGATTTATGTACTAGTACCACTAACTGACTAATGGCAATTATACATCAATGCACAGCTTCTTTAGACCTCTGAGGCTGTGAAAATAATGTTACATACTTTTTTCACCTGGCGAACCTCTACTTTTTCTCCTAAACTCATCTTATGGGGACTTCTCATAATTCCTACATTATGATAAGTGCCCTCATCAATGTCCCTGAGAGTCCAAAATTGCCTTAAACTCAAAATTACCACGCTAAACTGAATTTAGGTACAATTATGCATCACTTAATGATGGGGATTCATTCTGAGAAATGCATCATTAAGTGATTTTGTCACGTGAATATCATAGGGTGTACTTATACAAGCCTAGATGGTATAGCCTATTCCAGCTCCATTATAATCTTATGGGGCCACCATTATATATATGGTCTGTTGTTGACTGAAATGTCGTTACATGACACATGACTCTATTTATATTCTTCTTTCCATTTTCCACTGTACTTTTCTTTTGCCTACAAATTTCAGTAGTATGTTTATCAGTGAATTCTAGAATGTGGTAAATGGTAGTTACATAATAAATGGTTTGTTGGACTGAAAAAAAAAAAAATCCTACTGTCACAGACACCTGAAGGAAATGAGGTCCTGGGGAAATCTGAGAAAAGAGCCATACAGGCTGAAAGGAGATGAAAGCCAAGTTCAAAAGTTTGAAAGGTAACTGCTATCCTCAGGGGCAGAGAGGAGATCAGTGCAATGACTGGAGTGGATTGACAAGAAATTCAAGCAGAAGATAAGGTTGGTATGAGTTGGTGACACAAAGGAGTGTCCTACAACTGCTGGTAGCTGGAAAACTGTACTAGGACCCACTGGCTTTTTAAATGATTTTGCCTTTTACTCAGGAGTGAGATGTGAAAGACCTGGAGAGCTTGAGTAAATAAATGAAAACTTTTCCATGTTACCAGGATAACTCAGGCTAATGTGCTGAGAAGAGAATGAAAGAGGCACAGGTAAAAATCTAGTTCGAAGAGGATTTCAACACTCTAGACTGGGATGTTAATAATCAAAGTGGCAGGACTTGTTGGTATATATATTTCTGAATATATTTTGAGGGTAGAGCTTAGAAGATTTGTTGAAGGTTATGTTTTAAGTTTGAAAGAAAAAGAGGCACTGAGGATGACTCCAAGAGTGTTTGATCAGAGTGAATGCAAGATTGGAGATGCTTTAAACTACATATTGGATACAGGAGTCACCAAGAATTATGACAGGAGTGCTGCTGAAGTGAATGTCACAGAGGCAGAATCTAAACTGCTCCAGAGTGACCTGCAGGTTTGTAGATGACAACAGTATATGAGGTTAGAGAGAAGAAGGGATAATGGGAAGGACCTCGCGTCTGTTATTGACAGTGGTATGGAGGAGTAACATGTATTGTGTTTTTATGACATGACATTTAAAGAGAGAATACTAAGAAGGAGGAACAATATTCTATAAACATCAGTGAGAAACTACCAAATCTCCATGATTAATGGTAGAAGGGGTGTGGAGAGAGAAAAATTCCCCATGCATTGTGGGTGCAACAGTGGCCTTTTCTCTCCTTTGGGAATGGCTTATACGCATGGAAATGATCCACTCTTTAAATTCTGTTCCAGTCCTTCTGTCAAGCTACCTGGATCTGGTGTAGTTCTGGGTAGTACTACTTTAAGAATTTCCTGTATTTCCTCCATAGGATTGGTCTCAAGATTTTCTAGTTTATTGGAGCTCAATTTTGGTAAATTGTGTCTTCCTTAACAATTATTGATTCATGGTTTTTTAAAAAATTTTACTTAAATTAAAACAAAGTCTCATGAATCTTTCGATTTCTTCTATTTATGTGTTATTTTCCCAAAGAATTCATTATGTTAAGTTGAATTTTCTTCCTTTTTTTGATTATTTTAATAGTGGTTTATCTACTTAATTATGTTTTTATTTTGTTAGTTTTTTTCAGAGTGCCAAATTTGGATGTATTTATTAATTTTAGAGATGTTTCTAACTCATTCATGTTTGCTATTACACTTATCGATTCTTTTTTGTGTATTCTTGTGTTTTTTATTCGTTCTTTTTATGAGTTATTATAACAACTGTACGAAATCTTGTTAAAATTTCTCAGAAAGTACAGACTAATTTTACAAAATAAAAAATCAACAAATATATTACACAGTTTATTTCCGGTGTAAAACATCATAACCCAGTATGATTCATACCAGGAATGTAAAATACATTTATTTTAGTTTCTATATTAAGACTAATCATTGTGCAGTTGGCTCAAGAAGAAAAGTCTCTTCCATCTTCATATATGATGGATATTTATTTGACCTGATTAAACCACCATTCTTATTTTTAAAATTCAATAAAAAGAGAAAAAAATCAATACTTTCTTAAGGGAATAATATACCATTTTTAAAACCATAACCCTTCAAATAGGGAAACATGGAGGTGTTCTCACTTGTGTCAAAAGCAAGACAAGCATTTTTATTGGAAGTAAGCACTAGCAAATGGAAGTAAAGGAAAGAAAGAAAACAAAAAGAAGGATATAAAATTACCACTATTTATAAAATATATTGTTGAATAATATGAAACAATCAACGGCAAACTACAAAAACATGAGAATTAAATAAGGAAGTAGATTAAAATTTAATGTAAAAAGATAAATAGCTTTCCTATATACAAACATCAACGTGTTAGAACTTACAAGAAATGAGTCAATTTACAATAAAAACAAAAGATATAGAAGTTGATCAAAAACGAAATGTACAGGACTTGCATAAAGAAAACAAACAAAATAAAAACTACAAAAGATACAAAAGAAATGATGAACAAATGAAGAGACAAAAAAGTCTTGGATCAAATGATTCAATGTCAAAAGTATATAATATATCCTAAGTAATTAATTTATAGATTTAATGTGTTCCTAATAAAAATATAGTAAAAACAACAACAGCAACAACAAACCCACTGAAGTAGCTTACTTAAAGTCAAAGGGAAAGATTAACAGAAAGATTATACAGGAAAATTTTGGAGGGAAAAACAGCATTTAGGTTAAGTTAACAAATGTAACATGTTCAATTAGTGAAGAAAAGATGAGCTATTCAATATGTTATGTGGGGACAAGAGAGTAGTTGATTTAAAAAATGTGGCTGGATTAATATCTGCTACTACACACTAGGATAAATTCCATATGTAAAAAAGAATTAAATATACAATATGAACCCACAAACATACTATTAGAAAATGTAGAATAACTATAATATGAGCTTAATATACTAATAGAAAAATGAGTAAATGTTATGAATACAGAATTCACAGAAAAGATCATAGAATTGGCTCTTAAATGTAAGAAATATACTCAAACTCACTCATATCCAAAGGGACAAAAAATAGATACCATTTCTTATCAGATTGGCAAAAATCTAAATATTTGATATTACACATGAATGGAAGATTGTATAGAATTAGCCATTCTCAGACTGTGTAGTTGGAATTGCAAATTATAGTTGTTATAAGCCCTGCAGAAGGCAATTGAGCAATTACTATAAAGCTTACAATTGTATACACTCTTTTATCTCACATCTGGGAATGTACTGATATACTTGCACACATTCAAAATAAAGCATTTCCAATGTTATTTATGTCTTCATTGTAGGTAAAATAAAGAGATCTGAATTTAAAAGTCCATTAATAATGGGCTTCTTAAATATACTTCTTATATATATAAAGAAATATTATATAGCTATGAAAAAAGATTTGAGAGTTATCCAGTATTCATATGGAAAGAACCACAAGTATTGTGAAGGAAAAAAAAATACTAGCAAGGTGAAGGAATATATTCATATTCATTAGTACTTTCTTGAAATTTATACTGAAAATCTGGAAATAAACAATTAATTTAAAGGATTATTTCAGGTGAGGGACTAGAAAAATGCAGTTGTAATAGTAGGAAGTCTTTTAACTGTGTGTGTGTGTGTGTGTGTGTCTACATACAATACTTACATATTATTTTACATATATATTGCAGTAATTACTCATACACTGAGAGGTGGCTTCAAAACCCTGAAACATTGCATGCCACTGACACACCTGTGACTTTGAAGAAAAGAGCCTTTCTCACTGTCTGCAACCTTGTTTTTCAGTAATAAATTGGAAACAGGCCTCTGCTATTTCCCAGTTCCCCCACTAGCACTGAGACCTGCATCCTTCTGCATCTGTGAAATCATACTTAATTATTTTGTGGTTTAATCTCGTCTTTATTGTCCTTTTCCCACAATTGAACCAAATCACAATATGCAATTTCTGAGAATCCGGTCTCTCTGTTTTTCTGATCTAATTTAGATGTTTATAGGATAAACGAATGCTTGCTGCACTTCTTAAATTTAATTACAGGGTTAAACGGGAGCGATGGAAAAGTCTGCACTGGTTCTAATATAAATTACCTTCTCTCTGCAGGAGGAGCATTATCCGCTGCTTGGACGGTGAGTGCGTAAGTCCTCCCGACTATCAACTCTACCCCTGGAGCGACGGTGATGAGGCCTGTGGTTTTATTGATGATGAAGTCTCCCTTAGCCCCGACCAGGATCTCATATGTGATCTCTCCATTTGACCCTTCGTCTGCGTCAACTGCAGTGAGCTGGAATTGGAAATCACAACGTAAGTCCTCTTGGGACTCAAACTCTCTCCATCGGTGTCATTTTTTTTTTTCCCCAAGAAAAGGAGCTTGCTTCCAAAGACAAAACATAAGTAAAGAAAGTTTTCTTGACATATATACTCTGTTTTCTTGAATTGAGGCTACCATGTTCTGTTATGATACTGAAGCAATCACAGAAAGAAGAATTTTTTCCCTCTTTTCTAGTGAGAGTGATGAGAAAAAAAGTTTTTGGGTCTTGAAGACCATCTTTATTTAAGTTTAATAAAGGATAAAAGAGGAAAATCTTATCAGAAAATCTAATATCTCTATAGGAAATTTAATTTTTTCTCTATCTTGCCTCTTGTTTTTGACACATAAACACACATTACTACAGACTGAGATCTGGAAAAAAAATGAAATAGGCGGTTTGTCTTTATTACTCCAATCCTTACTTTTGCTCTCATTTTTTCATTCATAACACTCTCTTTCCTGTCTCCAAAGATCCTCTTGTCCTTGTGTCCCTTTCAATTATAATTGCTCTAGAAAAAAAATTCATACAATCTTGTTTACACTGATTTTAAAAAGACTGATAAGGCCTAGAGTATTATCTTTTCAAAATCAAACAAATGCATCTCTGATTGTACGATATCAAGGCTAATGTAGCCCAAGAAATGTATTTTTGAGAATGGAATCTATTCAGAGTTCCTGAAATTATACCACATAAATATCTATAGAGCTAATTTGCACATATTAATAATTATTTTGAGGCAACTAGTACCTTACAAAGAGCATATTTGGGTTATTATATGTAAAGAAAATAATTATGATCAATTTCATAAAGCAACATTACGTAATGATTTGTTGTTAAATAAGGCTTCTTGACTTAGTGATCAATATAAATTTACTTCATGGCAGAAAAAAGAGTAAAAATATATTCTGGTGGGAAATCCTATAATATGAATTTAATTTTTTAAATATTCCCCCCTCTCTCTACCCTCTCCTTCCCATCGACATCAATATGCATTTTATATACATTCACAGAATTTTCTTTTTTCATCCTACTACCAAAATTCATAGATGGAGGAAAGAAAAGTGACCTCAGTTTACACATACAGGGAAAACAATTATAAGTTTTCTGTCAAATAAACACACATAATTGCAATAAATTAACCTGTAGAAAAGTATTTTCATTTTCGATTACATTGTCTTATGTACTTCCAATATCCATGTTTTACTTCTATAAAGTCGTATTTTTTTTTAGTTCACAGACTCCTTTGGGAATCTGGTGAAAACTCTGGCACACCTACCTTGATAAAATGTGCATGTGAACTATTTACCTTGAAATTTGAATTCAGTTTCAGGGATGCCGTTTTAATTTATGGCCCTTTCAAAGTTCCATGTTTAATGTTCTCAAAAAATGTAAACAAATTGCTTTATTTTTCCCACAATGCTTAAAGCGATATATTGTGAATATTCTATTTCTATTTTTATTACATGCTGCATTTAGAGTGATAATGTGCACAGAAGCAGAAATTTAAGAGACTGGCATTAATGCAGCTACATCCTGAGATTGGGTATTTGGTGGTGGACAGATGCTGTTGCTAGAAGGTAAGGCATTTGATGGAATGATTCTGGACTTATATGAGCATGACAGACATAGTCCCAAAGGCAAAGGAGAAGAAAACTATTTGCAGAAACAGTCAAAATGAATGATGTGTATTTAAAAAGAACTATTCAAGCCAGACAAATTCATTTTGTGTGTGTGTGTGTGTGTGGAGAAAATTAGAGGATGGAGGTAGCAGAAGAGATATCAACTTTGATTATAATAAATCTCTTAAACAAAATGTCTCAGGAAATCTTAATTAAAATTTAGCTCATATTGGATTCTATATTAACATTTTTCCTGGGACTTAAATTGGCCAAAGGAATTTAATGATAAATGGCAATGCACCAAGTTAAGAAGAAGTGTTGAGGAGTGTGCTTCAGGGATGTAGGTATTACGGCTGGTCTTATTTAACATTTTCATAAACGACGTTGGTAGGGAGGAAAAGCTAGATGATAATTAAATGGAGGAAGTAACCCACCTGCAAGGTGCTATAAATACCAAATAGTACTGCAAAGCATAGGCGATAGAAACACCCCTAAAGTTGCAGAGGCAGACAACCACAAATAAGCTAACATATTCAGGGAACACGACTAGCTCCACAGAAACCATTAGCAGGTAGAAAATTTAACAAATAAGGCAAAAATGAATTATATGTTTAGGTTACTTACATAGCTTTATACTATTTTTCGGTCATTTAATACTAAATAATAAAATAGTAGGTTGAGAATCAATATAATTTTGTTTGCACACATGTAAAAAAAAATAACTTAAAGAAACTATTTGTGGTCCAAGATTAGAAAAAAGAGCTGACATACTGACTTGGAATAACCATCCAGTAATAGTTTTGGTGCAAGACCCTGAAAACTCAAGGCATTTATTTCAAACCTCAATGACACTATGTAGTAGGTATCCCTTTCTGAAGTCTATTATATGATGTTAAATATAGCTGTAGATGCTATTCATTTACAACTCCATGACTGTGACCAGTGTCTACTAGATTGAAGTAGCATATGAAGCTCACTTCTAATTTAGGGGGCATGAATGAGGGGTTGATTTACTTGGAGAAGACAAAGAGCTGCTTAAAAGTTTCAGATGAAAGAAAAATTAAATGCATGGTTTTTATTTGCTTTATTTGAACATTATGATATCTAAATGGTAAGAAACACTGAGCTATATGTTAACGTATTTCTTTTCCACAATGTATTACAGCCCTTTTCAGCAAGTTCAATCTTACCCTCCCACAATTCTTTCCTCTCAGTATTCTAATGTGTGAATATTCCAGATGTCTCCAGCCATCCCCCACCCTGCAAAAGAAAAAAAGAAAAAAATCTGATTTTCCCCTACTATTCCCTTCCTATTTTTGGCTGCAGTTTGCATCTCTCTTCAATCGCTCTCTCCTGGTTCTTGGAAAGTTAGAATTATGGCTTTATGTAAAAGGACAAAAATAAAGAGTGTTGCATCATAAGCTGAACAAAAACATTCAAATTGAAATCTCAAAAATGTCACAGGGATTGACTAAAAGCCATAACTGATATAGAAGTAATCCCAAGACTACAAATACAAGAGCATGAATATAGTATTTTTATATGAGTAAATACATTTTCACTAAAAATTAATTATTGCTTAAATGCTACTGATTATGCATGTTGACCATTTGGTGGTTTTTTGCCTCCTGCGCATCCTGGACTCTTGCTTCCATTAAAAAGCCCCTCATTTTCCCTTGGGGAACCATTCATCCCTTTCACAGTCCGTGTTTGGGTGTGGCTGATACTTAGCTCCAGTGACAGGAGTGAGACTCAGGCCTGGACACTGGTTCAAGATAAGAGTTTGAACTAAACAAATAATGGAAGGATTAACTTATATTTGATGTTCAATATGTATAGTAGTCTCTGCATTTTTCTTTTTCTCCTTTTGTTGTTGTTTTGTGTTTTGTTTTGCAGGCAGAAAGAGCTGGGGAAATAATATAATTTTAGATAAGAAGGTTACAAGAGAATTTAGGTGATATATTTTAATAGTTATTACTTATAATAAAAACTATGACTGCTGGTCTCTAAAACATGAACTGAAACATTTCACACTTGATTTAGATGACAAAACAGATTTGGAGACAAAAATTTTGATCAACAACATGTACACTAATCAAACACAGAATTGAAGCCGTGTTGTTTTCAATGGTACACACAGGTTACATCAGGAACATAACCTTGTGCTGTTATGGAAAGAAAGTTTCCGATTTATACAGACACAGATTTTGGGAATCTTAATGATAAAATACAGTTATTCTCTAGAAATCTCATCATCTAAATATTTGTTTCAATCTGATGCTTTTTATTACTTAGGGGATATTCTATTTCTAAGAGATTTCTTTGTATTCTTTTCAATGAATTTCACCTAGAGAGTCTAAAGGGTGAGAGAAAGTGCTAGGTGGGGATTTCCTTAAGAAATATTTACTGTGAAGACATTCTATGCCTTTTTCAGAATCTCAGATAGTGTCTGGGGCTTTGTTTATCTTGATATTTAGCCAGGGTAGAAAAAAGACTGCACTGTGTTTTTTCAGGACATTCACTTCTGTCTGTTTCCTAATGTCATGCTGATTCCTTTCATTTTGTATTTTGCATTTAATAAGGTGATTTGTTCTGTTTGTTGGTTTTTTGGTTTGTTGCATTTTTTTTTTTTTGGCCTATTTGGGAAAATATAAAAAGTATGATTCTAATTTTGTTCAGACAGCAGTTTATTTGGTTATTTTAATTCAACGGAGCAACAATTAGTATACCAGCACACTATTGTCTTATAATTTTTATTAGACATATAGATTATTGCCTAGTATAAAATTTAGGGTCATAAAATGAGTACATTTGCATAATAGTGAGGTAAAAATACATGGGAATTTCCTTTTATAAAAACAAACTATAATCCATCAGTTATAATTGATTCATGAAAATATTCATTTAGATTACTAGAGTAAAAATAAACAGCAGTTTTCTCCGGCTAATACAGAGTTTATTTAATTTACTTTATTTGGGCTAGCCAGTTAGCTCAGTTAGTTATAGCATGATGCTGATGACACCACGGTCCAGGGTTCAATCCCTGTTACCAGTCAGTTGCCGGAAAAACTACTAATGCTAATACCTAAAAGTCCTAATTTACTTTATTTGCTTCCTTCCGCTTCATCATAGGACTCCTACTTGCAAAATTCTGCCTTTTCCTTTATACTACACATCTGGTCCCATCACCACCACATGACTGAAATTGCTCTTTTAAAATGGCAAAGATGGGTGGATTAGAAGCAGGACTTCTGGCTGTGGTGGTTTAAGTAGATCGGATCATCCTTTGTCCAAAAAATAAGTAAACATCTAAGCAAAATTGTCAAAAACAATATTTAGGGCTTTTAAAAATT